GGCAAGAAACAAACCACAGCCAAACATCTTTGCTCCAATGTTCATCGCGGCACAGTTCACAATTATAAGGAGATGGAAAGAACCCAAATTTCCATCATGAGATGAATAGATTGACTGTGGTACATATATACAATGGAGTACTGTGCATCGCTAAAAAGCATTGATGAACGCATGAAGCATATTGCCACCTGGGAAGAAGCAGAGGAGAATATACTAAGTGAAGTAAGCCAAGTGCAAAAGGACAAGTACAACATGAGCCCGCTGATGTAAGTTTTTTTTAAAAAATGCAAAAGTGGCACAGGGGAAAAAGCTGCTGTATGCAAATATTCCAGGGGTGAGGTCCAGTTAGTATGGCAGGGGCCAGGCCAAATCGTGGGGTACATATGGTAGCCAACTAAAAAGGGGTGGGGAAGGAAAGGGGGGAAAAGGATACAAATGTGTAGTGGGGGAACGGGGCACTAACCCACACAAGGGGAGGATATTGTTTATAGCCCCATAAGGAAACAGGGACCAGACTTAAATCCAGTGTTCCGGGATGCGAATGCAGCATGCCAACATGGAGAGGGTGCCAGTGGAGTCGCCTGTGGGTCTGGCCCCAATCCCAGCTACCTGGACAACCACCCCTCTCCCCCCGAAGAATTTACTTTAAAGGACAGCACTGAAGCTGCAGCTCAGGGAGAAGGACATGTCTGATCAGATCACATGGGAGCAAATGAAGGGGGAGGAAGAGAGAGTGGAGGATATGCTGGCCCACCAAGCCTAGAGGAAGATATCCTTACTCAAAACAGCCAATGCACAGAGTGGACCATATAGCTGATCCCACTATGAGACATGATGTCTCTTGCTGACCCATGGCCCTACGGGACACAACACTGGAGACTCAGTGTCAGGACTGGCCCAGTCTGACCCCACCACACTGAGGCAAAACACTAAGGGCATGTGGCAGAACATTAGGGAGAGCAGAGCAGGGAGGTCCCAAGGGAGTGCAAAGGATGACTTTGGGGCCAGAGCATGGCACCCCATCTGACTCAACTGGAGGACACTCCTAGAGGTCAGCAAACAGACCTTGAACTATTTATAGGTGTTTTTTTCTTTTTGTTTATTTGTCATTGATTTTCTTTGTTGTCGTGTTATCTTTTGTCTCTTTGTCTTGCTATGCCTTGTTTGTTTATAGTATTATCTCT